TTCTTAAAACGAAACAAAACTATTAAATGTGTAAATATATTACAATTAGAAGTCTCTGATTATTTATCTTGCGTCATTTGTTTGCAAAACGCTTGCACGCTGAATCCATCATCATTCTTATTTTCTGTTCATTCAGATTCCGGCAATATTGAAAACCGATGAAGTGCCATATTACAAAGATACACTTTTAAAAGATATTAAACTCCTCATAAAGACGATAAAGTAGAAATGGTTTTCATATTGCCACAAACTAGGTTCAGTTTATCTAATCTTCTAAAAAAGTTGACAGGATTGGACTACCAACAATTTCTGTGAAGAAAATCGTGCAAGCAGGCATCATTGAGATATGCACAGATTTTTTTTAATTTGAAATTTGACCGAAACTCTTCTTTGATAAACAATTCGAAATTTTCAAAGCCATAGGTTCAATTATTTACTTATAAGCTGATATAAACGGGAATTAGATTAAACTACCGAATGTTTCCGTCAGCCACTTTTAGTTCTGATTAGCCATTCTTCTTTGCAGTCTTCAAGGGCCTGACGATTGCTTTGTTTGCAAGCCAAATCGTCAAGTGCTTTTTTATTTTAAATGCTGTATTATAGATATAATAAATTGCTATTTCAGCTTAACATTCAAGCCTTTAGAAAGTTCTGATAATCAATGTGACTTTGAGCCACTTTGACTTTGTGCGTTAAGCAACGGATTGACATAAATTTGATGGGCCCATGCTTATGATTGCAGAAATTACAGAAAATGTGTATAATTCATTGAAGAAGCGAGAATTATGGATTCAGTCATGGCCGGGCATAATTTTCCTTGTTTACGCTTTTGTCGCAATAACTTATTACTTATCTCTCTAGCCACAATATACAAGTTGTGACATGTTAACAGGACTCTAACAACATATCTTATCAGTACTTATCATTCCATCACTACAAAATTGATGATAATGTTCGCTGAACATCACGTTCGCACGTAAGAAGTTTGCTATCCCGAAACGAACCTTTTGAATTTTTTTGAAATATATAGATTCAACATCGCTAAGATTCAAACATTATTTCTTGGATAGCTATAAATCTGCGATAATATAATATTTCAACTGAAAATACCAATCGATAATGACATATAAAAGTACTTCCTGTGTTCATACTTTCATAAAATTGTATCGAAAAATCACATCTTTATGAAGAAAAGATTAGACACTGATATTTTTTCATTCTGCCATTAATAAATTAATCAATTGGTGATGCAATACGGTGAAAGTTGAGAAAAAGGTCAACAAACATTAGCCAACCAGTCAATTAACTATCACCCATGACCCGAATTTCCATTTTTATTACAAAAAAAATTGATGACAAAAATGTTTTTGATTTCACCGTACGTTTGTGTTTGCGATGCATTCTCATTTGTTTTCTTTTTCTCGGAATTCTCAAAATATTGCCAAAAAGTGAACGATCTGAATTTGTCATAATAATTCCGATTTTCGTTACAGATTCAAACGAATCTTCCTATCGGTTTAACTTCGGATCTATAAAATAACGGAAATGACTAGATCTTACCGTTTCGAACCGTATCGATCACGCACGTACGGTTTCTTCGCAAATCGTATTGAAAGCTCATAGGGTTTTTTCTCTCTTTTGTCTTTCTTTCTTCAAATATCATTCATTTACTTCCTTCTGCGCAATTTACGAAGAAGGAATGAAATAATGTCGCCAATCGATGAAGAATTGAGAGGAATTGACTGCGTTTAGTTTTTTAGGCATTTTTTTCACTACAAATTAGTCCGTTTCCTAAACGTACGACGACGTCTTTGAGACGGAAAATTACGCTATAAATTGAATAGTCAAGTTAAACGTGGAATATAAGAAATAGAATGTTGAGAGGAACATAACAAATTATATGGCCTGAGAGAGGGCTAATCGAGATTTCCTGAAGATTTCTTTAAGAATACTAATGCTTTTCGTGAGCGATCTTTCTATATTGCTCAAATTAATCAATTTTGTCCATTCGTGCCCCATTCGAAAAATATTTTTTAATTTCTGATTAACTTAAAAGTTTCTGTTGTTTTTTAAATATTATATTAATGCACATTTCAGTACCATTTCCCATTCCATCTTAGAAACAGATCTTAATTAGTATTAAAAAACATGAATGCATAATGTTACATGCAACCAATGTTACATGTCATCTCTTTGGAAACTTTTCTAGAATTTTAATAACTGGAAAAACAATGAGTATCATTATTGGATGAAATTAAATTTGTTACTTATAATTCTATGAAACTTAGTTGTGAATTTAATCAATGTTGTAATCCCGTTTCATTGATGATCATTAATTTATTTTCTAAAGAAAAATTCGGCAAATTAAAAAAAGTCCAAAAATGTGGTAATAATTTATCAGAAGGTCGCCTGTTTTTTTCTTGATAATCTTCGTTAATTTGAGGCTTTCGAATATGAGAAGAATTTAATACGGAAAGAATTTTTCGGATCATAAATTACTCTTTCATGTAGCGAAATTGTGAAAAAGAATGAGTGTTATCTTCTGATTAGAAGATACTTAATTAATAATAATAAGAAAAATATGAATTAATGATTGATAAAGTTTAGAAAAGTTATCAATTTGATGAATGCATAATACTAACAATAATATTTTAATTGTTAACAAATGATAAAAATGGAAAGAAAACCAAATCACTGATAATTGATTAATTCGATTCTTTTGCTCCAATTTCTTCAAAGAGAAAAAAATTTCATCAATTAAATCATAATAATAATTGATTTCTTTCCTTTCTCTATCACAAATTAAACTGTAATGAAAAGTAGTAATGCCTATTTGTAATTAATTCTATCAGCCGTAATATTTTGTGCGCTTACGTATTCTCATGAATTCAAATTATCTTGTGAAAGTTCACAGACACTCATGCATGCACACTTGTTATACACACGAGTACCATTTACACACTTTTTATACATACAAGTATCACTCACACACTTGTTATACGTACGAGTACCATTCACATATTAATTATAGATACAAGTACCATTAATGTCTTTCTTACGACATTTTTCTTCGCCATGGAAATCAATAATATGATTAATTTCACTTGTATATATCTCATTTTTCCATCAGAAGAGATCAAAATTATTTCATTGATTACCAAAAACATAAAATAGCAATGAAATGTGTTTCATCAAACTTTTAAATTTAACATTCGAAATCTATTCGTATCGTTGAAATCAAATATCGTTGAAGACTTTGTGGAAAGATTTGATGAAATTTAACTTTTTATTTTATCTGTTCAATGGAAGTATTCACAAAACGTATAGAAAAAGAAAATGAAGATCATTTTCATATTTTATAGTTATTTGCTAATTCTTCTGTTTGCTTTATATTATGATTTTATAATTTCCTCAAATTTTGAAACAATTTTTTGTTTACTTTTACCAAAAGAACTAATTCTATAATATTTTAAAATTCTACAGTACAACCACAATAAAAATTTCTTCTTTAATGGAAAGCAAGCTTTGCAATCCTTTGCTGATATTTAGAACTCTATTTCTAAAATGAATTAAAACAGAAATATGAACTTTTCACGGGAATAAATAAGCACATTTATCGATAAGAAAACGTGAGTGTGATCACTATTTGGCAAGTATTATAACATTTTTAAAAATTGATTTTGACAAATCATTAATCATATTTTCGAGATTGATTCTCATTTATGGTATAAAGTTTCGATTTTAATAGTTTTTGCAGTTTTTGTCAAATTCCTGTCTTTAGCCTTTTTCACATCCACATAAGATCACAAAATGTAGGATTAAACCTATTAATTTCTCCTAACAAACTATTACATAATTTGTCATTTAGAAGTTGATGGTGGCCATGTGAAATATTAATCAATTAAACATCATTTAACTCTAATATTTCACCCTTCTAAATTTTGCTAAATAATTTAAAATTCTTCATAACGAAATAATAATTATTAAAACTATTCTTATTTCATCATATTGATCTGTCCAACAGTAATATCAATTCAAATCTCATAACTATAATTTATCCTATGCCTTCCGGAAGAGAAATTTTTTCAGGAAAAAATGTTTAACACATCAATGTTACCGGGAATTTGTGAAATGACAAAATTAGTTTATGTGAGAAATTCAAGAATGCGTAATTTATTTATTGTTGAATTTCTTAGCAGTATTTTGGCTATTTTTGCAACATTACTTACGCTATTAGCTATTATTTCCAATAAAACACTCCACTTTAATATTCGATTATTACTTCTATGCTTTTGGGGCTCAATTATTATTACCTGTATAGGTAAGTTGAAAAAAGTTTATCAGTTCTTTTCGTAACTTTTTTATCAACTTTTATATTTCTAATTTTTGATAGCAAAAGAATTGAAACAATCTGTTTGTTTATAAAAGAGAGAATTTATGTAATTCAAATGAAATTTTCTCCAATTTTGAGTGAATTAAAATACTTATTACAAAAGGATAGAAAATTTTCACAATTTAATTAGTTAATTAAACTTTTCAATTCGATAAAAATTTTTTCAAATTTGCAAAAATTTAAAAATGGATATTTTACACTTATTTATATCATTGTATTTCAGGGACGCTTATCGATTCCTCGTACTATTTGATTGCGATTATATCAAAGATTGATGCGGAACGTTGCGCTTGGTTATCATTCACTAAATCAGACTGCATTGGTCAATTTATTATTTTAGTATGAATTTATTTATATCAATACAAAAAATTTCGAATTTAACTGACATAAAATAGTTTGAACTTTTTCATAGTTCAAAACTATTTAATGTTAGTTACAATTATAAATGGCCGTATCGATCCATAAACATATTTAGTTGAGGAAAAGATATTAAAAAATACCCGACTCTTCTGCATAATAGTTTACTCCGGTTGGATACCTCGGATAATAAATCAATTAATAATTAAGTAAACAAATAGCGATGAATAAATAATGAATGAAAAAAGAAATGATTATATTTGCAGCATTACGCAATGTGTATTATCTCGGTTTAGTAATGATTGTAATATCAACATTTTTTCTCTCAATCGAAAGAGCAATTGCAACGCTTCTTTATCAGACATACGAGCGTAGTACACGCAGATGGATAAGTATATCAATGGCTTTATCACAGATAAGTTATTTTTTCTTGTATCACTACTTGTTATCATGAAATTTTCATCTTATAAAAGGAATAAATTAAGTTAGCAATTTTTATTATTATTTATCTCTTAATTCTTCTATATCCTCCCTTATATTTTTTATATTATTCGTAGAAATATTTTGTTTACATTTCATTTTATTTACTTTCGCATATTTATAATTATATATATATATTTTTCATTTTTCAATTCTGATTTTAATTTGATATTTGCAATTTTTGCATATTTATAATTTCATATTCATATATATTTATAATAATGATACGGATTTTTCTTCCAAAATAATTGATATTACTATCATTTCTTGATATAGCGATTCATTTTTATTTAATAGTTCTTTTAGTGGCTTCTGATTATGCCTTTGATATATTATCAGAATCACGATGAAGAACATATTTTTCCCTATTGCGCTTATGAATTGTTTAATCCACAAGTAATAGCAAATATTCAGCTCACTGTTATTGCTATTCAAATTTCCTCATTTGTTATTATTATTGTATTGTGGACGCATAATAACAAAAAATTGGTGAGCAATTTTGAATTTGAATTTCTTTTCAACAAATTCAAATATAAAGTATGCATTTTACCCAATCAATAATAGGTAACATTTTAGATTCCTTTTTTCTTTTTGAAATGAAAACGTGACACCACTTCTGAAGCAAACTTTATCAAAAATTATATTCATATTAACAATAATAGGTTAACAAGCAATCAGTAGTAGTAAGGCTAGCATAGCGTTTTGCTAGAGTCAAATTTTAGTAAAATTAGCCAAATCTCTCTGAATTCCTGAAATATCTTGATATCTATGGCAATGCTTTTAAATAATTCAGTTAATACGGAATAAATATAGTTTTCGGAATTTTTTAAGAAAAGAAATATTTCAAATATTATTTTTAGCTTCAACGAAAGTCTCAGAATGAAACTGTTAGTATACGATATCAATTACGTGAGAATGTTTCAACTTCAAAGCTATTGGTACCACTCGGTACGATTGTAACAATACTTGTCCTTACTGGTGCCTTACTGCATGTCCTGCTACCTTCACGACAAACTGATAATTACTGGACTAACGTCGATCAATTTATAACATATTGTTTCTACGCTGAAATACAGGTATAATTTATAGGCACAATTGGATTTCGAAAACAATTCCTTTAAATTATCTGCCTATCTTATTCAAAGGAAAAAATTAGCTTGACATCTACCACACTTTATACTAGGTTTATTGATTCTTATCCTTTATTCTGGGTTTATTGATTCTTGTCCTATCCATCATTCTTTATTCTAGGTTTGCTTCTTGCCCATTGCATCAATTATCCTTGCTATCATCTTATGCTACACAAACCAAACAATTCGAAGCTCGCTTTTTCATCTTCTTGGCCTAGAATGTTGTACGAAGTACAGTGAACAGAATTTGATTAATATATCACGAGATGAATTCATCCGTCGGGCTTATTTCGATCAGCTACAACAACAATGGAACGATTTACCTTCTTGGAATAGTTAAATGTGCAATAATTTGGAGTACAAAAGTTTCCAATATGTCAATTGTCAACAGATGCAGTAAACATCGGCATTTTTGAAGCAATGATAATGAATTGAATATTCATTTAAATTACAAATCAATTGAATTCGCTTGCTATGTGATAAAATCAAAATGTAATGGGTATGAAACAATTTAGTAAGAGGAAGAGTGCGATAATTAAAATTAATAATATAAAGTCTTATTTTTGGAAATGAAGTAAAGATAAAAATAAATAAGAAATATCAAACAAAATTATTTCACAGAATAATCCCAAAATAAAGAACAGCTTTCAAAGCATAAATCAAAATTTTAGGAAATGATCTGATATATGCACCCTACAAAATAATAAATTCATTGAAATTAATAATCTTTAAAGTTCCATTTGGTAAAAGAGAACAGAAAGAAATCAATTATTACTATTTAGTTGATAGAACTAATTTTTTAAGTTAATGGAATTAATTTATTTTTCCGTTCTCTTCAAAAAATATTTAATGAACATTGTCTTATCAATTTTCCAACTAATTTTCGAACTTTTTTGCATTGAATTTTATTCTCTAATTGTTTCTGAAAAATTAATATTTTGTTTTTTGTGATCTTTGTGAATGTAAAAAGGCTAAAAGACGAATTTGATAAAAACTTAGCACAAAAAACTTTGTGGCATAAATAAGAATCAACCCTAATAATATGATTAATGCTTCGTTAAAAATTAATTTTAATAGATGTTATAATAATAACTGCCATATAGTGATCTCACCACAATTTCGCAATATTTTGCTAAATTTATTTATTTAGTAAAATAATAATATTTCTTTTTCTAGCATTAAATAATAAAATATATAAATTTACAGTTTAAAACTGTTTGTTTACAGAGATTAACTTATTTCTTTGATGTACGGACGATTTAAAAAAGCGGTAAAGCTGAACATATGGATGAAAAGAAGGAAAAACCAAAAGGAATGCGGTAACAGTATCCAAAAGTAGAGAGAACTCTTTTTTCAGTTCAGCGATCATTACCTTTGCAGCATATCCGGTATGTCGCTAAAAGTATTATCAAACTTGTGAGCAATAAAATTTAGCTCAATTAACTTTAATTCCTGTTGACAGATAGTGATAGAACACCTAAACTTCATTGTATAATTAATTAACATACGTTTAATTTGCTATAAACGGGATATAATTCAACTTGATGCTCAGCAAATATCAATGTCGCTTGAAGACAACAAGGGATAACTACTGAAATTGTTAGCTTATCTCCCATCTTTTCGTCTAGGAATGAACTGAAAAGGTTAAAGAACAAAAATATGCGAACATTTCGGATGACGGATCCTTACAATGGCATACTGTAATAAAATGTAATTCATTTTTATTACATTTATATTTGATCATTTTATCGGACGAAGTAAAAAATCTGGTCATTACCTCAGTTTGCTACCAACCAATATTGAATTAATCTCTGATTGGTATTTTATTCTAATGTATTATGTCAAAAAATATATTAAAAATTAAAAATTAAATTTAATTCCTAAAATGATTTCTTTTAGAAGCTTTGTTTTAAAATTAAATCTTTTAAGACAATATATAATATCTCAATGAAATAAATTTGCATGAAAGTGTTGGCGTGAAAATTTTCATCACCTCATAATTTTCAATATGTTGAAAATAAAACTGACCATTTTTTTAGGCTTGAAAATAACGCCACCATTTATCGATGTGAATTTAAAACCATTCGGTGATTCAATAACGATCATATTTTCAAATTTTTAAAGGATAAATTTAAATTTTCCGTTTATTAAAGTGTTTTACTTTTCTCAGATTTTTTTAAATTTATAGCAAATCGAAGAAAATAAGAGTAGTCTTTATTTTTCATATTATTAAAATGATTTTAAATAAAAGTAAAGCCAAAATATGATTAAATTTCAATTATAAAAAATGCTTTTCAAGCAATTTTACAGGTTATCACTAAACAGAGAATATGAGAATAATTCAGACTTTCTTCATTTCTTTCTTTAAAAATTTGGAAACTTAAAACGAAGAGAGTTTTGCTAACGATTTAGTCCATATTAATGTAGATCTTTATTTGGATATTTGATATATTCACTTTTCTTTAGAGAGTTTTCTCTTTCTTTGCTCCTAAAAATCGATTATTCTTTAAACAAATGACTAATTGAAAAAAGCTGCTAATGGATTTATTTGTTTTTGCAAATGCAAATTGAATTATCTAAAACAAATTTCTTCATGAATACAATCAATCCCATTTTGCAAATCTCAGTGATCGTCCTATTTTGATGACATTTTCATTGCACCATCAATAGAAGCATTTATTTTCAGGTGTAGCAAACGGACGTAAATAAATACAAGAAATGTTCCATTAAAAATCTCAATGAACAGATTATTGAACGCAGAAAGAACAAAGTGACAGATTGCAAGAAATAAAATGCAATATTTAGGAGAGCAACAAATATGAATATAATAATATGAATGAACTAGAAATGTATGAATGTATGAATGTACTAGAAATGATAAACAAATTTCAATCATTTCAGCTCAGCTATCAAATTTGATGGTATTAAGAAATATGGTGTAAAATTTTTTGTGACACCTTATGTCAACACCTACAAAAAAAATTGGAAATAGAAGTTTCCGGAAAGACTTGATATAATAAAGATTGAAATAATACTATGATTTAATAGCAATTATCTAAATATGAAAAAAATGGGAAACAAATATTTGTACTCTTAGACGAAGACTAATTTTATATTTTGTAAAGAGTGAACAGAAAATAGAAATGAACAATAATTATATGCTAATTAATTAATGAAATTTCAGCAACAAAAACGAAATTAGTAAAAATTAGCTTACTGTATGTTTACATTTTTTTCAACCTTATCGGACTTTCATCCCTTTTCAAATTCAATTTTCCAATTCATTCCTTTTCTATTACAATTTCTCTGATGGTTTTGCAACGAAAAACAAAGAAAAAATTCATTACATCAATAAATTAGTAACAAATCATTATGATAATAAAAACGGTAACTGAATTTCCTACAAAGATATCAATATGAATGCAATAGTATTTGTTAATATGTAAAAGGTGCAAATCTATCTGATATCGAATTTTTCTTATCATTACTTTATAATTCAGGTAGAAATTTTGAATTTAACAAATGGATAATTTGTTAGTTGCATTATTTTACAATTTCGATTAACATTTATTTTTCTATAATTTCAAATTGAACTATTTGTCTTTGTGTTGCTTCCTAATTTAGTCTTATCACTTAATAGATAATTTTTCTCAAATACTTAATTCTAACAGTAACTTTTTTCAAAGTCTGAAAAATTATGTAAAGCTGTGATTGGCATAGCGAATGATTGAAGTGATTCCTTTCTTTTCCTCTTTAAAAGTGAAGGAGACAACGGTAGTAAATATTGATAATTTCATTTTTAGAGAGAAGAATTCACTTGAATAGCGATAAGTTATGATTAAATTTACTGCCACACACTTTCTTTTATCATAAATTTTACAAGTTTTATTTGTCGCATACTGCATCATGACTATTTCTTAGCCGAAATGGCATAAGAAAATTCAAGCAATGTAAACGATATTGCGGTAGTATGGTGACTGTTAATAGCGGATTGAAAATCTGGAAAAGCATAAAATACTTATATATATTGTAAGTAAATTATTTACTGATAATTTAACTTATCTTACAAGCAATGCAAATTGTCGCATATTGTCAAATGTTGCTTATTGCCTGGGTAGGGGCAATGTATTGTGGCAACATAAAATAATATTTTTTGCAATAATAATGAGAATATACACCTTACCCAATTTTTGCTAGTTTTAATAGAATTGATAAGTTAGGTAATAAAAATTAAATGTGAGAAATAATTCGAATAATTATTTCTTAACCATTTGATTGATTACACTTACCGGATTTAGATCCATAGCATAGTAGGTAAGTATACTGATGAAGACACTACCACATGTCCGGATCACGGTATCTTTATCAATGATTGTCCTGTGGAGTGTCACCAAACGATACGGTATTAGAGTTAAAATAGTGAAAATCGTCGAAATGAAGATGAAATAAAATGTAAGCATTCCAGATTTCTTAGCGCTAGTTTTCCTGCGCATATCATTTGCAGTGTATAATTTTTGCTCTGAAAATTGAATTGATAAGTTCATCATCAAACAGACGATTAGAATTGGTTGCTATTGTCAGTATAATAATTTGGAAATGGTATAATATCAGTTAATTCAGCTTACCCTAACATTATTTCATGTTGGAGATCTGGAGGATAAATGCACGGAAAGATTAAGCATTAAAACGTTAAAATTATATATCAGAAAATTCGAGAAATGCAGAACTAATAGTTGAGGTGAAATTTTATTCTATTTGTATAAATTTAAATTTTAATATTCCATATTTAAAGTTAGGCAAAGCATTGAATTCAATTAACTTAATCTTTGCCGAATTTTTAATATTAATTTTGTAAGTATCCATTCTGATTAAATATTCCTACAAATCGATATTTGTACTAATCATTATTTATATGAATAATTTGTTCTGAAAAGAAATCAAAAAAAATTAAATGAAAATTAAAATAACCTTCAGCAATTTGTTTCCTATGAATATCAACAATTCGTAACAGATAAAGCGCAACAATAAAAGATGAGAGAGCCGGAAAAACGGAAACAAAAAATGTAAAGAATAAATACATCAATGGACCATAGCGACTACTTTCAATGGTAAGACGTTCGCAATTATAGCGACAAATTAATGCTCGAGTATGGAATGCTAAGTAAATGAAGATGACACTAATAAACCAAGTTGCAAATGCCATCAAATATGCTCCATTTCGTGTCACCAATTCAGAATATCTTGAAATAATTTTAACCATTAAAAATGGAATAATTAAAAAAGTTTAATTAGTAGAAAATTTATTTAGTGTAATGTATGAAGAGCGTGGATGAATTGAAAGATTTCTGAAGTGATGAATTATGAAAATAGTCAGACTATTTAGTCTATAACATTTCTATAAGGCTTTTTCATTAGCCAGATTTAGCCTTAAAAGAAATTTTTAAATGAGGCTTTAATCCATCTCGTTTAATTACTCAATAATTAATAATTTACATACATTGACTCTTAATGTTTATAGTAGAAAATTTTTGTTGTTATTAATTATAATTAGTAATATCATGAATTTGAAAGGCATAACGATTGTGAAAAACAATCGTTAATATAAATTAGAATTGATTAATACAAAACACTAATTCGAAATCAGTCGCATTCCCTTGGATAGTCATATAGTATCTGTCCAATTTTTAAATTTAAATTAAAACAATTAATCTTATAAAAAATAGGAGAAAAAATTGAAACCTTAAAGGAAACTTGAAAAATATAAGCTTATCAACATTTAAAAGCACTAAGTTTAGTCCAGATACGGAAGTACCAAGCCAAAGAAAGAAGTGCATCATCAAATTGATGTGATACGGAAATTGCAACGTTATCGTATCAATATCAATTAAAAATTCCATTGGTAATGCAATGCCTGAAAGATACAAAATTAATCGTTTAGCAGAATTTTCAAACATCATCATTATTTCTTAAAGTAAGAGTTTTTCGTAAGATCAGTTGTGAGAATTGATTGATAACTTATCTAATCATACTATCCAGAAATTGGTTATACGAGAAAAGAACAAAATTACTGACCAGTTAAGAGAAGATCAGCTAATGTCATATTGAGTAGAAAGATATGCATGTAACATTCGCTTGTATGTCTACGAATATATCGTAAAGCATTAATGATAACGATAACTTGAAGACATGCGGAGAAGAAGCACATAACAAGTAACATATGCATAATAATTGCACTAGCATTTTTTATTGTTATCTCATCAATTACCTGTAATAAAATATACGATTTATCGATTGATTACTGTTATTGTAACATTCATACTTTGAAATAATTTAATGTTTATTGAATGTAACTTTGTCTTTTCTCCAATGAAATCATATTGATGTTTAATCTATTTTAATTCCAAAATAAAAGTAATTTATTATGCCTAATCAAATTTGAGTAAATAACAAAAACGAAAAAATCTGACTGAAACTATAGTTGTCTGATCATATTAAGAATTGAATAATATTTTACAACTGCAATTTTCTTCTAATGTCTATTTACAGTTTCTTTTTCTTCACCGTTTTCTTCTAACTCTAATTTATTCTAATTACAGCTAGAATGTCGTAAATATTGCAAAATGAAAAATGTTATTTGTTTACTATTTCAGGATCTAGAATTGATCAATTCATGAATATACTATCGTGCATTTAATCTAAAATGAAGTTTGAAAATTTCTTTTTGTTTACAATTTCAGGGTCTGGAATTGACTAACTCATGATACTATAGCATATTTAATCTAAAATGAAGTTTGAAAATTTCTTTTTGTTCACTATTTCAAGATCTAGAATTAATTAATTCATGATACTATAGCGTATTTAATTTAAAATGAAGTTTGAAATTTTAGGCTAATTATTTGAAATTCTTGCTATGCAATTTGTTATCGTTGTTAATGAAAAGTTTGAAGAATAATTAACTTACTTCAGATTCAATGCATTGTTTAATAGCAGTATTATTATTGCTAGCCATATTTTATTGCTTGTTGACAATTATCACGTATATATCATTATTTGTTGCATTAGATTGTTATCGTTAATTATGACAGTAGCCAATATTATTATCATTCGCCAATATCATTACCGCTGATATCGTGTAATATATAAAAAATGAGTTATATCGCAATCATAATAATATCGTTTATATCATTAAATTTTTCCTGCAATTTTTCTACATATCTAAGCTGAAGAAATATTATATTTTGTAAGCAAATTGATGAGAAAGCTAACTTGATAAGCATATGAATGGCACACCAATATAACTATCACTGATATTATAGAAATACATAAAAAGCAACAAATAGCATAAACAAATTAGGTTGGAAATCAAGTGATAATGATATTTTTATACACATTACATATCCGATACAAACAAAAAGCAATATTTCAACACAACGAGGTATACATATTTCAATGTGTATAAGCAAGATTTAAATAGCTATAGATGACAATGATAATGATAATGATTTTGCTGTAGCGCAAATAGTAGACTTTGGGAAACAACAGCAACAATGTAGGAAAATTTGCATAATTGTAAAAGATATTGTTTAAATATGCTTTGGCCAATCTCAAAATAAAATTAGATAGAAATTTTTGTGTTATTTTTAGAAATTAAAAAATATGACGAGTTTTTAGAATAACTGTAGCAAAGAAAGGAAATATAGTAAAAATTTGCTATTTTCTGTTTGCGCTTTTCATCATTATCAGAGAGGTATGATGATTGTTTTTTCATCATTATCAGAGAGGTACGATGATTACTTTTTAATCATTATCAGGGAGGTATAATTATTGAAAGATTTTCAACGATAAGATTTGATACATATGATGAAAGAAAAAAAGTAAAGTTTTGAAGTAAGAAGAATAACTCACATTATCGTAACTTAAGAGATTATCATGAAAGACTGAAAAATTATTTGAAAGTTTTTCTATAACTCGTTTTTCTTCTTGCCACTCTTCTCACTCCCTCTCTTTCTCTCTGTCGTACGTTCTCTTTTTAAAAGTTATTTCTGCATAATAAAATGATTTCATTTTTTTTCTCATTTCAAAGTTCAATATCAACTAAATTCAAGAGGTAACATCATAAATGATGCTGAATTATTCGTTTAAAAAGTAAAAAGAGAGAGAGAGAGGGAGAGAAAGAAAGAGAGAGAGGGTGAGTGAAAATTGCATAATTTTCGAAAGGTTTAAAAATAGGAATTTGCAAAAAAGTGTTCAGTTAATTAAATAAAGTATTAGGAATCTGAAGGAAGAAGAATGAAAAGATTAAGACAAGATAAAAAGCGTTGATGGACAAGTGAAGTGAAAAAAGAGAGGAAATCGGATGATGAAAAATAATTAATTGAAATTTTCAACAATCTTTATATATATCGTAATAAAATGATATAAGTAGAAATATTAGATTTCTTCAATAATATCATAAATATTCCATTTCTTCAATAATATTTTAATTACTTATGAAATTTGAATTTGTAAAATGTTTATCATAATTATTCGATATGCATTAAGTAATATGATGAATATACATTTTATTATTTAAACATTTTAATAAAAACAAGTGTTATCAAACACTTTTTTATCATAGAAGCATTTATTCTTAAATGAGATGGAATCTGAAATTTATGAATAAATTAAGTAAAGCAATGAAAATAATAATAAACGATAAAATAATGCTTAGCAAGAGCGAATAAAGTAACAGTTATTATTTAAGTTAAAAATTAATTAATTGTCATTAATCATAGGAATATTAAAGGTAAATAAATAAGTAGAAAAATAATAAATGTGCTTATTTTCCTCTTTTTTCATTCCTTTCCTATTCTTCTTCCTTTGAATGATTAATTTAGTTGTTTTTCCATGGGTAATCAAAATAAATGAATGGTTATTAGATTTAGCGATCGATCTGTCAACAATTCCATCCTTGCAAAGGACTAATTTGTTGCGTATACAAAGTAAATTAGAATGTTCACATTTTATGAGAAGGAAATGTCTTTCAATTCTTGCCGTCACAATTTCTTGACAATAATTTACTTTGAAACTATTAGTGAAATATTGTTATTCTTATCACATCATCTGTCACTAATTACTAATTCTTTCATAATAATAATATAATAAGCTACTTCTGATTAAACCATTTCACCCATTGCTATTTTACTTCTCTTCCTCAATAAACTTATGTGAAATTATATAATTTGAAACTGTAACATTTCCTATAAATAGTTCATTTTTCAAATTTTTTTACAGACATAATCAACCAAAAATATACTTCTCATAACTTATCATTATCATAACTGATAATTAGTCTTTAGCAAAAAGGAGCAAAGAAACAATAAATGATCCGAAATGTTAAGTTCGTGAAATTTATTTACTTATTTCTGTTTATCTTTCTTAATTATCATTAATTAATACAAGTAAACCAAACGAAATTAAGCATAGAAATTAATAATTTTAATAGACAAATATATGAGATTGAAATTCATTTCTTACAAAATTAACGCAACAAATTTCGTTTCATTTCATTTCAAAGCTAAGTAATACTTACTTTCTTAAGAAATTCTCTCATCCTTTTCACTCCTAAATTTTATCAAATATTTAGAGAGAAAGAGCGAAAAAAAAGAATTTAATATATTTGCATAAAATCACAGCTTTGCGGTAATTATTAGTTATTGCTAAAAATATTAGTTAGCTAACGATCACATTGGGAAGAACAGAATTTTACTTAATAATTAAAGAGAGATTTAATAAGTAGTTTGTAAAAGATGAAAAATACAATGATAGGTGATGAGATTGTTGATGGAGTGAAATAGCTGGCGACTTTTTAAAATTGTAAGATCATCAAATATAATTGTGAAGTTAAATTCATCAAACGTAATTTTTAAAGTTAGAATTGTCAAGCATAATTTTATGAAATTAGAATCATCAAATATAATTTGTGAAGTTTGAATTGTTGCATGTAAGTGAAAATTTCGACGACGGAATATTTGCGTACAAATGTCTGTAAAAGTTATTTTTCAGTAAGACTATTATTGAAATACCAATCTTCATTTTGACAATATGAATGAACGGATATAGGCTATTGTGATAATTCAGTCAATTTCATTTATTTAATTAAAAAAAGTTTGTCATTGAAAATGCTTGTAATAACATCCAGAATGAGGGCAATTATCGTAATTACTAGTGAAATTCAATATGACATTCTAACTATGTTTTATGTTTGATCGATGATAGGTTTGATGAAATGATAATACTCTTCGGAAATTTCAGGTATATCATCGGAATGCTTCGTATCATAATATGAAAAAGAGAGAGAGAGAGGGAAGTGCAAGCTGAAGAAAAATGATCAACAAGAGAATGATCTGTAAATTGATCTGTTGAAATGCTAGGATTATTATATTAGCTTAAATTACAATCAACAATCAATACGTTAAAAAATATCTTTCCTTAACTTTATTTGTTTTTTAGCTTTTTAAAAAATGAAGAAAAGAAAAGTTCATTTCATCTTTATCCCACACAAAATTGCAAGAATTTTGATTTGCTAATTTTTCTCTCAAAACTTTTTTTTATTTTAAGAAGTATTGATTTTGCCAAATTTTTAAATTTGGCTTTATAAAACTTTTGAATTTGTCAAAGGGAAGGCTTACACACACACACACACACACACACACACACACACATATATATATATATATATATATATATATAAAAGCTTTGTGAGAAATTGATTAATGAATGCTTCGATTTGTAAACATAAAAAAAGGAAAAAGAAATAATTATAAAAAATTTAAAGGAAAAACTGTCAAAATGTTGAAAACATTTGTCAACATTTTTTGGCAAAATTTTCAATCAAAATTTTTACTAATTTAATTTT